CTGCCCTTCTCACGGAGCTGTACGTGGACGTTACCTTAGAAAATGGAATCACAAGCTCACTTATTGCATTAACTGTTACTTTAAATTAGACATTAGATATGTTCAATGAAAGAACTACAAGATTACTTAATACATTAAGTGCCACTTATAATGATTACAGATTTCAGATGGAACCAATTTTACTTCACTGAAAATGGCCAATCACTAAATATTTCATATTGCTGCAAAACCAAATGGTGTGCGATTAAAATTGAAAGTGCTTAGTAGATACAAGACTTGCATACTTTGGCTTGACATTCTCGGAAAACTTTGAAATGACGGCTCAAGGGGAATTAGCCATACAGTCTGAACTTATCGAGACTGGAACTGGACAAAGAGATAGGAATGTAACATGTCCCAGCAAACTGTAAACTCAAAATTCAAAAGGCAACATGGTAAAATGATCAGTTATTAACAGTTTTGGATAATTATATAGGTTTATTTTCATGTATTTATTTTTAAATAAGATGTTATTATACTTTAAAGACATAAAAATTCATGAATATGAACTAGTAAGACATTTTCAGCATTTAGTTTTATATCATCCGTTTAAGGAGATAACTAAAGTGTAACCTAATGTATTCACCAATTGAAGAAGCTGGCTGATTATTTCCCTTGGTTTTAATGTGCTGTCTCCAGTATGAAAGTTTGGGACAACTGTGTAATGATCCAAGAGCGAAGGCTGCAGTTCTTGCTGAGATGGATGCTGTCGGAAGGGAAGCTCAGGTAATGTGTTTGACTTTGGCTTTCTGTTAATTCCTGAGTTTTAGTTTCTTAAGATGAGAAGTGTAACTTTCAATTGGACTGAAAGTTGATGCTCTCCTTGTACTCTGACACAGTTGAGAGGTTTCGAATTTGCAAAAGCTGTTACATTGGTTATCGAGCCTTTCACAATCGAAAATGGTCTGCTCACTCCCACATTCAAGGTAATTTCCCTTTCCCGTCTCATGTTTTTAAAATCTGAAGCAAATCTAATGATAAAAAGGTGTTCTTTTGGTCCATTATGGTGTATTCTTACAATCCCAAATGTCTTTATTAATATACTTTTCCTGTTCTGTTCCAATTTTCTAGGTGAAGAGACCGCAGGCAAAGGCTTATTTTGCCAAAGCAATATCTGATATGTATAATGAGCTTTCTACATCAGATCCAGCAGCTCAGAAATCGCTATGACCAATGGTAGACGAGAAAGCTTCAGCTGTTCCCTACACTTTCCTTACTCCAAAATAAATACCAAACAAAATGATTATTGTAGAATAGAAAGCTCATAGAGGATTTTTTAAAACTCGAATTATTAATAGATTTCTTGTTGTAATATGTACAATGTTCAAATAATTTATATTCGACTCTTCTATATTAGGTAAATTGTCTGAGACATAAATAAGTTTAACCTTGGCCAAAAGTATGGGATGGAACTCTTTCTCCAACTATTCGTCCTAGTCTTCGTGGCAGAAATAGCAAGAATGACGTAAATTACTTTTACCCTAAATGATGAAGGGCCTCTGGCGACCTGTAGGAGTCGTGCTAATTTTCTTTGTATCGTTCCAATCTTATCTGTTGTCCCGAAGGACTACATGATTGTATTTGACTCGAGAAGAGAGGACACTCCCTCCAAAGAAATGGACATTTTTTATATTAAGTAGTTGCTAGTGCTAGAAACGTTGTGGACATTTTTCCTCATAGTTTCTCTGATTGTGGATCCATGTGTAGTATGGTAGCATTTGACACTGCCATTCTCACACAAAACTATATATAGTGGCTGTGGATACAAAACTATATATGTGAGCTTCTGAATGTCGATGTCGAATTTGAACAGGCAATCAAGCCTGGACTCGGAAAGGCATTACAGATATGCTCGGAAAGGCATTACACATGTCGAATTTACCATGTTACCGTTTGAGAAGAAAAAAAATCCCAAAAATAATCTTTTTCTGGGGCTAATTAAGTCGAGAGTGAAGCTGGATTTCAGTGCTTTCTGGCGTAATAAAGGAGTAATTTTCAAGATTGCTGTTCGGAAAATCATGGCCGGTTTCCAGCAATAGATCATGATTGCCACATTAATCATTTCATCAGAGATGAGCCACTGAAGGCTAAATATGTAATCGATAATCAGAAGGTATAATGGATGAGCAGCTTCTTGAAATTGTATTGACACTATAATTGCAAAAACGTATGTATTTCAAAAGCAAACAAGATAGTCAGATGATGTACGAAGAATCAAACTCAGTGTGTACAAGTGGATAAAGGAAGAATCAATAAGGTGTAGTTTGTATTAGCTAACTAGAGAAGACAAAAGAATATAAGGTAAGACTGAAGAGAGTAACAGAAATGGGAGAGACATGAACGAACACGAGATTGACAATGATAGGTAATTATGGTATTGTATCATATTATACTTTAAATAAAATATTTATTTTGATTGTTACCTAAACCCTAAACCTCAAATAAATTTTAATTGTCATCTTATTTGTCAATATGATATACCCAATAATAAAATCTCTATTAAATTAAAGGGACTTATATAGTCATTTAATAACTTTTTTGTTCTATATTTTTCTTTATTCTATTATCCAATGCTTAGTATTTTTACATGGTTAATAGAAATTTTTATTAACAAATTACTTTGTTTAATATTTTTGTCCGCCCGCTTTCTTTTTGTAATGTAAGAGAAGATATATATTTTATTAATCTTGAAATATTTTTTATTTTGCTGTTGTCAATAATTTCATCTGAAT